AGGCCCCTGACGGCTACCAGCCTGGTCCCGTCCCTACCATCGTACCCCTGGGGTCAACTGCCGAACCTCCCCGGCCTCGTGGTTTGACCCCCTTGTAACGTCCAACTGGAAACACGGAACACGCCCCTCTGTACCGCTGTCCCTTCAGAACCTCGCACGGCTTCCAGCCACTCAGGTCTTCCCTTGAAGCGACACTCGTCGCCCTGTCCCCTGGACACAGAGACCCCGGTTCCCCAGGGCTCAGGTGCCTCTGAGGGAACGCTGCTCCGTCCTCGCATGGAGGACAAGGGTCTGACTCACGGACCGGAGAGGCACCCCTCCATCTGGGCTTGGACTCGGAGGTGGGAGCCGCGGGAGGTGGTGGGGAGAGACCAGGGGGACACAGCACCCACCTCAGTCGGGCTCATCGGCGCGACCCTCCACCAGCATGCGGGAAGAGCCGCCGTAATAAAAGCGCTCCTTCGTGTCTTAAGAACACCTCAGTGCGGCGGGAGCGAAGCCTCTGCTCCCGCTCCCCATTCGCTTCACTGCGACCCAAGACCGACACGGCTCGGATCCAATGAGCGGAGCAGAGCGCGCTTAAATCGCTTCGTGTCACAAGAGAGACTCTGAAGCCCCGCCCCCAAGTGGTGCGTCAAAACAAGTTGCCGAAACACCTCCCCCACGCGCTGCGCACGCATGCTGAGCCCTCATTGGTCAGTCGCCGCCTCCGCACTACCTTCTGGGTAACGTAGTTTCCACGCTGTCACCCGGGCGACTTCAGAACGCAGGTCGCTGCGGTGGGTGGATACTGACGAAGAGGTGTTGTGAGGGGCGCTTGGAAACGGCGCTCCGGGATCCAAACGGAGTTGGACTTGGCTGGCTCTTAAAGAGGTTCCACACAGATTTCCTTGGCGTGCAGTCCACGAACGTCGCAGAATTTTTTTCTTTTTCTCCAGAAATGTTTAGAAACCTGTTATTTCAGACTCGGGGAATCTCGGTTTCCAAATGCTGTTCGTAGAAAGGGACACACAACACGGTGATGACACTCTTGTTCCCTCAGCGCTGTCGGCTATCTTGTTTGTCTAAGATATATTGAAGCTTTGGAGTCGTTTTTATGAGCTTCAACAGGGTCGTCAGGGACAATAAGGAAATTCCCGACAGGGCTGTGATGGAGAACTGAAGGCAGGATGACAGGCGGCATAAGTAGTCAGAGTGACTGTGTTTCTGGCTCCCACAGAAAACGTCTTTCCTACCTGTATAGTCAATGATTGTGTTCCAATCTAGTGAGCCATATTTTTATTCAGACATTTCTTACTCTATATGTGAGGTATTTTCCATTGTTTTTTTATCCTCACCTAAGGACATGCTTGTTGATTTTAGAAAGGGCGGGCGAGAGGGAGAGAAACTCGGATGTGAGAAGGAAACATAGACTGGCTGTCTCTCCCACACGCTCTGATTATGGACGGAACTGCAACCCAGGCATGTCCCCTGATGGGGAATTCAACAGGAGACCTTTTGCTTTGCAGGACAACACCAAACCCAGTAAGCCACATCAACCATGGCTAGTTTTCGTTTAAGAATCTGAAAGCTCTCTAAAAGAAGAGAGACTTATTACATGCCATCTTCTGTTGGGACAGTGTAGGCCTTTCTGACAGCTGGACCACGTATGCAACGGGGTATCTTATCCCTGTGATAAAAGTTTGGATATTTGTGATCGCACCTGCTTGCTGTGAAGTAGTTTATAATTTTATCTGTAATTGCAGCGACAGTGTCTGCCAGAGTTAAGATTATTTCTGGCAAAACACTTGTGAGAAGCATATTACTAAATATTACTGTTATTAAAAATGAATGTAGTTTTTCAAGGAAAGTGACAAAAATGGTTATAGAGAAATATAGCAGGAACAAGTTGGAGGAAAAAAGATAAGATTTCAGTGATGTTTGAGCAAGAGGCATTGAGTGTGAAGTCAGAGAATGAAGCTGAGACTGCGGCGTGCAGAAACCTTGGCCACACTCAGGGTGTTGACCCAAAAATGTGATTATTTTTAATACTTGAAAACATTTTACATTAACAGCTTGGAGAGAAAGGTAAAAATGATGTATGTTTTTAGATTTTATTTATTTTTTAGAGAAACGGAGGGAGAAAGAGAGGGAGAAAAACACCAATGTGTGGTTGCCTCTCACACGCCCTAAACCGGGGAATTGGCCTACAACCCAGGCATGTGCCCTGACTGGGAATTGAACTGGTGATCCTTTGGTTCTCAGGCCGGTGCTCAATCCACTGTGTCATACTAGCCAGGGCAAAATGATATTTTAAAAAAGAGTTGCCAGAAAGGTGAAAACGAAGTTGTACTGTTGTATACTTACTGATCGACATTCGGTGATCACTTAGCTCTATCATTGACAATTAAATCACTTAGTGGTAATAGTAGCTCAAAATCATACCCACATAAGTAACCTTGGGGATATGCCTTATGGTCTGTCTCTCCTGCAGGTTTGGCTAAGGAAGAACAAAAGAGGGGCCTAACAAAGTGTTTATTTTTCATATCCAGGAATGGGAAAGGCTGCTCTTGGGCCAAATTCAATGTTGTGAACAAGAAACCAAGATTAGAGATAACTTCAGATGACTAACAGGCTCATTCCAGTAATTCAGCTTCTGACAATTAGTAAATCACTGATAGTCCCAAACTTCTAAAATTCAGTCACTGAGTGTTCAGTCCCAAAAGACAGCCAATCAGTGATAGCCCCAGGATCCTAGGCAAAACCACATACTGACAAATATCCTCTAGGTAAAAGGAGAAATTAAAAAGGAAATTTTAAAAGCATTAATATTTTGAACGAGATGAAAATAAAAATGCTACCTGTAAAAAAATCAATGTGATACAGCTAAATTAATTAATAGCCTTAAACAGCTTATTACAAAAGAAGCAAATGTTAATAACCTAAGCTTCCCTGTTAAGAAACCAGAAAGATAAGACCAAACCAGCCCCAAAGCATGGATAAGACAGAAAATAACAAAGGTGAGAACAAAACTCATTGAAATAAAAAATAGAAAAACAACATTTAAAAATCAACGAAACAAAAACTTAGTTCTTTAAAAAGCTCTCTCTCTTCCCTTTCCTTTCTCTTTCTCTAAAAAATCAATTAAAATTTTTTTAATGCCCTGGCCATGTAGCTCAGTTGGTTGGAGTATCATCCCTGTACACCAGGGTTACAGGTTCAATCTCTGGTCAGGTCACATACAAGAATCAACCAATGAATGCATAAATAAGTGGGACAACAAAATCAACATTTCTATCTCTCTCCTCCCCCTCCCCCTAATAAAATCAGGAAAAAGAAACTACTGATCCTACAAAAATTAACATTATCATAAGGGAGTATTATAAATAATCTTTATCCAGTTATCAAAGGTGACATAGTAGAAAATCTATATAGAACTATACTGAGTAATTTTTATTGAAAATCTTCCTACAAGAAAATTCCAGGCTCACCTACCTTCACTAAGTAATTCTGGCAACCATTTAAAAAAATAGTATCAGTAATCCCTCAAAACTCTTTCAGAAAATAAAGGAGGAAATACTTTCCAACTTACTCTGAGGCCAGAATTACTCTGACAGCAGAGTGAAAGATATCAAAGAAATCTACAAACCCATTAGCTCTCAATACAGATGCAGAAATTAACAAAGTATCCAAAAATGGATTCAGCAATATATACAAAGGATTATTCATCATGACCAAGTGGGATTTGTCCTAGGAAATGCAAGGTTAAACATCTGGGTATCAATTAATGAAGTGTATAAGTAAAAAGACAAGAAGAAAAACATAACCACACAATGATTATCTCAATAGATGTAAAAATCTGGAATTGAGTCTAGACATATATCCACAACTACATAGTCAACTGATCTTTGAAAAACGAGCAAAGGCAATTCAATGGAGAGAGGGTAGTCTTTTCAACAAATGGTGCTGGGGGAGCATTTGAGATCTTGCTTGCTGGCAATTGTTCTCAGTTTTGGCTCAAATAAACTCTTAAAAACATTTTTTAAAAAATGGTGCTGAAACTACTTATTGAACATTGTCATGTTAAAAAAATTATCTAGATACGGATCTTACACCTTTCATAAATATTTTCTCAAAATGGATAAAAGAAAAAACAAAAAAAAAGGACAATAGCTCTGGCTGGTGTGGATCAGTTGTTTGGGCGTTGTCCTGTAAACCAAAAGGCCAAAGGTTCAATTCCTAGTCAAGACATATGCCTGTGTTGTAGTTCTGTCCCCAGTGGAGACATATAGGAGAGGCAACTGATCAATATTTCTCTCCCTCTATTTCTCCCTCTGTTCCTTCCTCCCTCTTTCTCTAAAAAAAAAAAATAAAATAAAAAATAAGGGGGGGGGGAGAGTGTGGTAATAGAACTAAATGTATAATACGGAATTATAGAACACCTACAAGGTAACAATAGAAAATGTAGGTAACCTTGTATTTGGCAATAACTTTTCAAATACACCAGAAATAATCCATGAAAAAAAAAAACTGGATAATTTGGACTTGATTAAAATAAAATCTTTGTGCTGTGCAAAAGATAATCTAAAAAGATACTCCTCATCTGTCATTATGGACTTGCAAATTAAAGCAATAATGACATACCACTAAAAATCTATTTAAATAACTAAAATCCAAAAACACTGAACACCAAATGTTGATAAGAACATGGAGAAACAGGAATGAACTCTTATTTATTGCTGGTAAGAATGCAAAATGGTACAACCACTCTGGAAGACAATTTCTTACCAGACTGAACATACTTTTACTATATGATCCAGCAAGTCATGCTTGTTGGCTTGAGTTCAAACAAACTGAAAACTTATATCCACATAAAACCACAAATATATATTGAAGGTGTATTCATAAATAAAACTTGGAAGCAAACAAGATGTCCTTCAGTAGGTATGTGGATAAAATGTGGTACATTCAGACAATGGAATGTTATTCAGTGATAACAAACACAAATCTTCACAGCAGCTTTATTTGTAATAGCCAAAAACTGGAAACAACCCAAATATCCACTAATAGCTGAATGGATAAAAAACTGTGGTATATCCATACAATGGAATAACACTCAAAAATACAAATATACTATTGATATATGTAACAAGATAGATTGGTCTCAAAATAGTCATAGTTAATTTAAAAAACCTAAGCCCCCACTCCCCAGATAGCATATTACATAAAATTCTACAAAATGCTTGCTGCTGCGTGTGAATCATGGGAAATGAGTTTAGAAAGTACTGGGAGGAAAGAGTGCTAAGGAGACACAAAGAGTCCCTTGTGCTGTTGGACATATTCATTATCTTAACTGTGGTGGTAGTTTCTCAGGCACATACACATGCTGAAACATTTTATACTTTGCATTTGTGCAGTTTATTTCATGTCAATCATACCTCAATAAGAAACAAGCATATTTACCATCCCTCTTGGAAGGACGCATCTGCCCTTGCCCCACAATTTAGGAAGGTGAGCCCTTCTCAATGTCAGCAAGAACTAGAAAGCAATGAAGTCCATTTCTACCTTGTACACGAGGACTACTGGTTGGGTCCCAGAAACCCTATCCCTGGACTTCTCTTTTATCAGTGCTGGTGCAGTGATGGCCATGACATCAACAGCCCAGGAAGGTAGAGGAATCCACAAACCTTTAGAACACTGAAGGCCCTGAGAGTTTCCATACACTCCCATCCCATACAGGCACAATTGCACAGACATTTGCAGATGACTCCTTTAGGATAAACACATACCTTCTCATTTGCCAGTTATCTCCACCCAGTTATCTAAATATTTCTATACAAATTATGATTCGCATCTTGCCCTGTAGGCCTTCCAGTCAATGACATCTGCCCATGGGATTCTGGACATCAGAGATAGGACATCAGGTACAGGCGACAGAAATCCCTCAAAAGTGCTGGGGAATATGGGTGGATTTCCTGAGAAAAAGGGACCCAATTCATGTTGCTTCCAGAAGCATTGGAGGTTTTTCACATTAACTATACTCTTCTCAGAATGAATTCTGGGCTTTCAGGAAATCCAGATTCCAGGCCACAGGATTAGGCACACAAAACTCTTCAGTCTTTTCCAACAAGGCTTGGACAACAGTGCAAATCAGATCACAACAGAGAGATCTGTCTGCTGCCATACTGCTTTCCCTTCTCAGGCACATAAAGTTGGTGCCAACAAAAGCCACTTCTCCCTTCATGCTGGCAGAACCCATTTTTTTCTCAGTCCACATTACACAGTGAACAGGCTCCCCAAGAGTCCAGACAGCTACAGCAGACCTGTACCGCTGTGTGAACCAGGGAAGCATCGGGTAGGTGGTTCCAATGGTGGGTGGTTGGAAAGCAGGACGAAGAGTCATGGTTCTTGAGTTCACAGCTGACATTGTCCATGAGGAAGGAAAATCTTGTCTGGAAATTCCAGCAGTTTCCCGCTCAAATCCTTGTGCCCAGAGCTAGATCACACCACTCAGAACCCAGTCATTAGGGAGAAAGTGAAGACCTTCAATGGGCTCAGAAAGCTCATGATTCTTTCTAGGGACTAAGAGAGAGCAGCAGGGGTCTGCCTTCCCTGAGCATGTTGGATTGACACACTGTAGGACCCTGACAGCTGGCAACAGAGGTGGCCTCTGCCACAGGCACTGGCACTGATATAACTGTCAAGAGCCCTGGACAGTTCAGAAAGTGCCATGTATGTACATGGAACTTCCTGGGAATGGAACCAGGCTGACGCATGAATGCACAAGGTCTACCTGCTGGTTTATGGCTACCTCAGCACCACAGTAACCACAAAGTTTTTCTCTGCTGTGAGTCCTGAGGCTGAATGAAGAGACAGCACATTTTCTGCATGCATAAGGCTTTTTTCTAACATGAACTTTCTGGTGTTAAAGAAGTTTAAGAGACACAGCTAAAGGGCTACCCAAACTGTTGTTATTACAAGGCCTTTCTCCAGTATGAACTTTCTGGTGTCGCACCAGATGGGAGCTCCGGCTGTAGGCTTTCCCACACTCACTACACACATAAGGTTTCTCTCCCGTGTGAACCCTCTGGTGCAGGATGAGGCTAGAGTTGCGGCTAAAAAATTTCCCACACTCGTTGCACTCATAAGGCCTTGCTCCTGTGTGAACTTTCTTGTGTTGAACAAGGTGGGAGCTGCTAATGTAAGCTTTTCCACACTCAGTGCACACATAAGGCCTTGCTCCGGTGTGAACCCTCTGGTGCAGGATTAGGCTGGAGTTGTGGCTGAAGCATTTCCCACACTCACTGCACTCATAAGGCTTCGCCCCAGTGTGGATTCTCTGGTGCACAATCAGGTTGGAGCTGTGGCTAAAGAATTTTCCACACTCACCACACTCATAAGGCCTCTCCCCCGTGTGGATTTTCTGGTGCTGCACAAGGGTGTCCTTGCGGCTGAAGGCCTTCCCACACTCGCTGCACTCATATGGCCTTGCTCCAGTGTGGATTATCTGGTGCTGGACAAGAGTGTCTTTGCAGCTAAACGCCTTCCCACATTTGCTGCACACGTAAGATCTTGCTCCTGTGTGGACTCTCCGATGTTTAATAAGGCTGGAGTTATGGCTAAAGAATTTCCCACATTCAATGCATTCATAGGGCCTTGCCCCAGTGTGAATCCTCCAGTGCTCAATAAGGTGGGAGCTTTGGCTAAAGAATTTCCCGCACTCGCTGCACTCGTATGGTCTCTCTCCAGTATGAAATCTCTGGTGCTGAATGAGCGTGTCTTTGCGGCTGAAGGCTTTTCCACACTCACTGCACTGGTAAGGCCTCTCTCCGGTGTGGATTCTCTGGTGCTGGACAAGGTGGGAGCTTCTGCTGTAGGCTTTCCCACACTCGCTGCAGTCGTAAGACCTCTCTCCAGTGTGGACTCTCCGGTGCTGGACGAGTGTGTCTTTGCGGCTGAAGGCCTTGCCACACTCACTGCATGTATAATGTCTCTTCCCAGTGTGAAGTTTCTGGTGCACTTTTAGGTGGGACAGGTGAATGAAGGCCTTCCCGCACTCCTTACACACATGGGATGTTTCTCCATTGTGAACTTTTCTGTACTGAATAAGAGCTGATTTCTCCTTGGGCACATTTCCGTACGGCAGGCAACTCATAGGCTTCCCATCAGTGTAAGTCATCTGTTTGTTAAGCAGAGTAAAGGTACTCAGGAAGGTTCTCCCATCATCATTGCAACTGAAAAGCATCAGTGCATCGTGATCCCCCTGGAGTTGCCTGAGGTTGGTGCTGGGTGGGAAAGACTCTGTGAACCTGGTCCTCTTGCATGGACTTGACTCACAGTGAAGGGTCTGGAGCTGGAGGAGGCTAGAGTTGTCTAGCAAGTCCATCCCGTCTTCCCTGCAAGGAAAGGGTCTTCCCAACGTATGGATAGCACAGCTCTTCACCAATGAGGCCCCACCATTGTCCTCGTGGATGGGCTTCTCTCCACCACTTTGCTCTTGGTGCTGGTCAAAGTTTGCCCTGAATGCCAATCCTTTCCCACATGGGCCACACATGCATGGTTTCTGTATGGGGAATGGCCCCTGGTGTCCAGCCAGGGGCAAAATGTCTCTCAAGAGTGGGTCACACAGCTCACACAGGTGGGTTTTCTGGATAAACAGACCTGACTCGAGAGTCCTGACTGGTAACACTTCTGCAGAAGCACTCTGCTCAGAAGGGGCCTCCTCATGGTCTACTTCACGCCAGCAACCTGAAAATAGACAAATGCTGGTGAAGTATGTATTGACTTTGGTGCGAGGCAGCAACCTCATCAGATACGAGTATATGACACACCAGAAATGAGTCCACTGACTCGTTGGCAGGACGAGGGAGCCAGGGGAGGGGTGAAGAAGGGCCCACTGTCAGTGCTGGACCTCTACAAGTCACAGAAGGGAGGAACTGTAATGATGGGTAAAGATGCAACAACGGTGCCCAGGACAGGAAGGAGAGGAGAGGTCTCCAACTCAGGCTCTACAAAAGGGCTTCAGCAGGGTTCTGGCTGCTGGTGTCTGGTGAGCTATGTGCAAAATGCTGGGTCCTGGCCTAGGGAAGTCTGACTGCAAGGAAACTGCTGGTTGTTAAGGACTATTTAAAAATGTGTGCACAACGCTGCAGAGCACTGCAGAGGGAGTACAGAAGCATGAGGGACAAGCAGAGGCAAGAGAAGTGAGGAAACAGCCAAGGGATGGAGACAGAAGAGAGATGTTAAGTGGGTGGGAACCACAGAAGGGAGGGATAAGAGTCATTGATCTGGCTTGACAGAAAGAGCTGACCGTAAAGAATGGGGAATACGCAAACACCAAGGACCCTGGAGTAGGTGCAAGTGTACATGGAAGGGAGCCTCGAAGATCGAGGGCCCCCAGAAAGGTCTCTTCTCCTGGTATTCTTGCCCTTATATAAGCTTTCACTGTAAAAGGGACTAGAATGTTTCTAAGGAATAGAATGCAGCAAAAATGATGGATGTCACTTTCAAGGTCAGACCAGAAAAAGACCAGCTTGCGTCCTAGGCATTCTCTCTTGCTCACTGGCTCAAAGAGAAGGCAGCTTCCCTGATGTGAGGTAGGCGACAGGAAGGCCACCATGGCACAGAACTGAGGAAGCCTCTGGCCAACAGCCAGCAAGAAGCCAACGCTCGCAGTTCAACAAGCTGCAAGAAAGTGAATCTTGTGAACAGTGATGTGAGTGAGTTTGTAAGTAGAGTCTTTCTGAGCATAGCCTGCAAAGGAGAACAAGGCTCTGGCTGACAGCTTGACTGAAACCTCACAGGACATCATGACCAGGTGCACCAGGTAAGCCGCGACAATTCCTGATGCACCAAAACTGAGATAATGAATTTTTACTGTGTTAAGCCAATAAATTTGGGGGAAATCTGCCATACACTAACAGATAGCTAAACCAGGGACTTACCCAGTGAGGACACGAGGGCAAAGTTCTCCAGCATCACATCACGGTACAGGCATCTCTGAGCCACATCAAGGAGCCCCCACTCCTCCCGAGAGAAGTACACGAACACGTCCTCGAAGGTCACACAGCCCTGCTGTGAAGGGGACAGTTGAGCTCACAGGCAGCACAGCATCTCACCACTCACATGAGCACTCCTGGGTCCCTCCCCGTCCCCCAAGCCTCTCAACGCAGAGGTACCAGGCCTTGGACCACTTAGTGCCTGCTGTTTCCTTACATCCCTGGGGTCACTAAGTCTCACCCTGAGCAGACTCAGGCAGGTGGGGCAACAGGGACTATGTAAACCACGGTTCGGGCTGGAAGGACGCTGAACAGTCCCCTGCCAGCCAGTTCTCCTCATGTCATCCAGACCAGGCCTCCCAGACACAACCTTAAGCCTCTCAGTCCATACTCCTCCCAACATGAACACAACTCTTTGAATCACACTGTCCTCACTTGTGGTAACACATTCTACTACCACTCACAACCTCAGGTCCACACCATTTGTATCCCCAAGGGAACCCCCACCCTACTCTGCACAAAAGGTCCAGCAAATGCTCCCATGTCTTTATGACAGCCACTACTGCCACCCAGGTGCCTAAGCAAGACACACAGTCCTCAGTGCCAAGTTTTGAGTTTCTGATTATCAACAGCACAGCCACCATGATCTGAAGTACTCCTTCCGAAATTTAACCCATTCCACACTGGCTGCCACATTTTGAACTTCTTCAACAGAATTAAAATCCTGTGTCCAGCTTGATGCCTCCACTAAGGGGTCTCTGGGACTTCTTAAACCAAACATGGCAAAAGCCTAACCCCCATATAGCCACTGAAAATTACTCCTGCCACCAACTTCTCTATCTCAGTTGATGGCACCTGCTAAAGCAACCCCCCGCCCTGTGGTTGCCCATGACTTTTTGCCTTTTCTCATTCACCCTTCACATCAGAAAATCCAGTCAACCTACTTGAAAAAACAGATCCAAAATCCACCAATTTCTCTCATTTTCCCAGCCACCCACTCTGGACCAGCCACCGTCAACACTCCTGTGGAATACTCAGGCCAACACTTTGTGTTCAAACAGACAGCAGCCAAAGGGAGCCTGTTAAGATCTGAGTCAGATCATCTTTTCCTTCTGCTCCAACGCTTCCAAGTGTCACCACCCTCAGAATAGAGACCCAGCCTCTGAGCCTGCCATTCCTGACTGCCTCCTGGCCCTGTTCCCAACAGACATAATGAAGGTCTGTGATTCTCTGAGGACTCCTAATTCATTCTTACCTGCATTTGCTATTACTGGGCCTAATACACCCTTCTAGTCCTCATCCTCTTGGCTGTCAAAGAAGTAGAAACCTTTCCAATATAACTTCTAGGCCAGATTCAGAATGCTGGGCCCCCAGACTCAAGTGCAGAAAAAGGAACAAATTAAGAGTTCCAGAATAGTACTATGTCTCATTAGAAAATCTGGCCAGCCCTGCCCTGGCAGGGTGGCTCAGATGGTTAGAGCATTGTCCCATACACCAAGAGGTTACTGGTTTGATTCCCAGTCACCACACATGCCTAGGTAGCAAGTTCAATCCCTGATCAGAGCACATACTGGATGCAACCGATCAACCAACTGACGTTTCTCTCTTACATCAGTGTTTCTCTCTCTCTCAAAATTAAAACATATCCTCGGGTAGGGATTAAAAAATAAAAATAACAATCTGGTCTGCCCTACTTTAGCTTTACCACTCTGCAGCCAGAGGGAGCCTTTTGACACGCAAGCCAGATCACCTCCCTCCCCTGTTCTAAACCTTCTGTGGCTCCCACCATCATCAGAACAGAGGCCCAGCTCCTCAGGCTGCCTCTCCTGGCCTGAGCCCTGACCTCCTGTTCTCGAAAGACGTAACAGAGACCCGAGGCTCCTGCACCTCTCCTGACTCAGTCCCATCTCCAAGGATTTGTACCAGCTGGCTCTCGTACCTTGGAAACTCTTGCATACCTCAAGCCACGGACACGGGGAACAGGAACCACGCCTTATATCCGGCGGGAGCCACCGCCCTCCATGGCCATTAGACTCAAGAGGAGAGAAAGGTGAGAGGAAAGCGATAGCCCCTAGATCCGAGTCGTTGAGGGCCTGGGGGACCCTGCCACTCACCCCAGCCTGGTCCATCAGCGCCGCGGCCGCCATGGAATCCCGAGAGCAGACTCGGGGGTTCAGCCAGATCCCACACCTCCTCTGGGCCGGGTGGCCTCGGGCTGACTGTCACTCGGCGAGCCCGTCCCTCCCCTACCAGCCCTAGGGAAAAATGCGCACAAGGCTCAGGGAGCCGTCTCCGGGGGCCGTCGAGGACAGGGCGCGGGCGCCAAGGCCGCAGAAAGAGCGCAGCCCCGATGCACACCTCGGCGCTGGGCCGTCCCTCCCCCGACGGGAATCATGGCTCGTAACAAAGGCGCAGGGGGACGTCCTTTCCTTTTAACCGTCCTTCCCGGCTCGATTCCGAAGAACCGCGCGGCCACCAGACCCCTCCAGGAATATGGAAACTCTGCGGCTAGAGTAGACCTCTGACAGTCCTGGCGCTGAATAAATACGTCACGACAGCGACACCGGAAATCCGGTCTCTCCCCGCCCAGCAGCAGGAAACGCCCATCTTTGGGCGGTGCAACGCAGCGACGACGCGTCAGGCGCGGACTTCGGGGTAATGTAGTTTGTTCGCTGCACTCAACCGGGCAAAGGGCACATTTCAGATTCTGGCGACGACGGCGCTAAGGACGGTGATGGGGAAAAGATGGGGAAATAGCGTCCTGAAGGGCCAAAGCGCGTCTTAAAGGGGACGCGCTCAGATTTCCCTGGTCGCCTGGGACAGTGCCACATCCTTCGGGTCTCCAGTTGGTGATCCATTCTTTTCATCCTGGAAAAGCTGCTTCATCTTTGGGAACTGAGGTTAAATAAAACAAGGAATACAACTCGCTCCTGAGGACTTTGCGCAGTAGCAACGTTAAATATACCCCAAATCCATTGATTCCCAAATTTGGGTCCCTGCTGTGGCAGTGTCAGCATCTCTCCTGAACTCAGAGTGCACGTCCTCGGTGAGTTCTGTGACCAGTCCCTCAGGTGGACCACTACGGTCCCCAAGCCCTGGCTTCAGAGCCCCCCACACTGGACTGTTAGAGGAGTTCGTCCACCGGGCCCTTGCAGAGCTGAACACTCAACGCCAAGAATGGTAGTGGAGAAATACTGGTTTTTTTATTGATGAATGGCGCCACCAAGGGGACGGGAAGCTTAATGCTCAAAAGCCCTAACTCCCTGATGGCAAAGGGCAAAATCATAGGACACCAGGAAGGGGTTCAGTGTTGTACTGGGAGTTAATTGGTCATAGGCGAGGTAAGGGCAATGAGTAATTTCTTCAGGTCTTGAGGGTATTTCTGATGTCTGCTCCTGCGCCCCTCTGTCCAGTCTCGTGGGGAAGTAGCCAGGTGGTCCTTCCACTTTAGGGCTCAGGAACTAAAATGTAACTTAGGTTAAGATGTTACTTTTAAGCCCTGGCTGGCATAGCTCAGTGGATTGAGCGCGGGCTGGGAACCGAAGTGTCCGAGGTTCGATTCCCAGCCAGGGTACATTTCTGGGTTGCAGGCCATAACCCCCAGCAACTGCACATTGAAAAAAAAAAAAAGAAAAAAAAGATGTTACCTTTAGCCAACCAGAGGCGCAAACTGTGTAACCATTTGTGAGTTCCCGGCTACTACAATCTTCTGTGGCCTCGGGGGTCGGGGGTTGCTGATTATTTCAACCCCCAAGGATAGAGGGTTGAAATCTCCCTCTAGGGGAGAAAGGCTAGGTCTCTGAGAGATGGGAGAGGGAAGGAGAGATTATTTCTAGAACTGGAGTTTATTTAAAATTAAATTTAATCAAAGTCATAAGGACCCTCGGTTTCAAATTTTCTCAAATGCCCAAGATCTCCCTCATATGCACACCTTTTCGCAGAATGTATCCTGTGAGGCTAAGTCCCATCTATATCACAGGTTTAAATTATGTGCCACAGTGGGTGTTGTGACTGCAAGGGCTAAAGAGGAGCTCTGGGGGATCTGGAGGCCAGGCATTCTTGTTTATTATTAAACATGATTTATTCCTTTAGGTGAGTGAAATTGATAGACTAATAAATATTGATGGAGGGAAGATCCAGACTGAGGTAGTTTCTGTAGAAAGGGTGAGGGACCAGGGCAGAGAAGGCACCTGAGTTTGTATGGGAAGTGTGTCTTTTCTGTCTGGTTCCTTCTGGCCCACAACTTCCTGCTGGCACAAGGCTCCCAACCCCTTCAGCATGGACAAGCGGATCAGCATTTGACCAGATGGCCTGTCTCCTGAGCAGGCAACTGATAATCAATCAGGTTTCCTTTAGGAATCCTAACTCGGTTGGCTGCTTAAAGTTGACAGTGCCCAAAAGTTGTTTTTGGCAGTTTGTCTCTCTTTGGCTGGGGCTCTGCTTTGGTGAACATGATGGGCAGTTTGCCCAGGGCAGGCTAGGGCATCGGCTTAAAGACTGTGCCAAATGGTTGGTACTGTTGAACAGCTGTGATTGGCTGACACTCCCACCTCACCCAAACTGCGTTTGGTTGTTTGTAGCGAGAGGATGGGACTCAGAGATGGAGAAGCAGAATTCAAAAGCTTTGATTGGCTGTCCATCAGGAGGAGTGGAGCTAGCAAATGTGGGCTGTCTTGAATGGAGGCTTTCAGAATAAAATGTACCTTGATTGCCTGTGGTTGGAAATTGGGGACCTGCAAAGCATAGTAGCCATGACTGACAAACAGTCATGGAGAAGGCGGGGCTTAGTTCCTAAGATGGTGGCTAGTCAGGGCTGGATAGAGAAAGGTTTCTGTCAGAGTTTGTCACTGCTGGAAGTACTGGTCTTATGGGTCTGGTACTTACCTCTGAACTCTGGGATCTCTTGAATATAAACAAGTTCGTAGACTACAAACCTCAGTTAAGGCCCCTCTGTGACTGTGATGGAACGAGACAAAGAAAAAACGGCCCTATCACTGAGCTTAAACACAGACAAAAACAAGAACCCTGTGCAAACAGAAAAGACCAGATAGCCTCCTTGTTCTCGGTACTGAGTGACAGCTATCTTCTACTGGCTACTGCTCTAGTGCCGCTTTCCTCTCCTGCCTTGTGGGTAACAAATTTCACAGTATCTGATCACAGTCAACCATGTGTCCTGATGGTGTCCAGTTCTGACCAATGCTCTGTTTCCTTAGTGTCTTCCAAATCACTGAACACAATTCCAGGGCCTGGTAAATGCCTCTCCTAACATCCTCTTACTGAGCGCCCCGCATTCCCCACCGTGTACGGTATCACCGGGCACCAATAAGCCTCACTGCTCCACCACACGTCTCCAGCAATGCTGGTGCTGGAAGGCACTGGCTCCACCTCTCTGCAGACCCAGAAACTCCCCTCAACTTGACTTGCTCATCCGTTTCCCTAGATGTCTGATGGATGTCTCAAACTTACAGAGTACAAAACCCAGGTTCTGTCCTGGCTGGTGTGGCTCAATGAATTGAACACCTGCCTGCATACTGCAGGTTTGCCGGTTGGGTTCCCAGTTCCTGGCATGTACCTGGGTTGAGGGCCAGGTCTATATTTGGGGTGTGCACAAGGCAACTGATTGATGTTTGTCTCACACATCAATGTTTCTCTCCCCTTTTCCTCCCTAAAAAAAAGTCAGTATTTTAAAAAACACACTCAAGTTTACGTCCCCCCACCCCACTGGACCTCACTGCCCACTATCACCACAGTGGCCTTCATCTGACGCTTGCCACAAACCATAATCTTGTCTGCTACATTTGCTGGAGAGCTTCTCCTCCCATCCTGCCTGGGGATCCTGTATCATATTCTTCAGGAGTCTATCAACTTCCAGCTTCCGTCTGTTTTTCCTGTGCTTTAATGCAATGTCTGTCTTCTCAATTTACACACGAGAACACTGAGCTCCAAAGATAAGGGATGTAACCAAGGTCATATGGCTGGGGATAGGCACAGGGAACACAGGTTGGAATCTCAATTCCAAACTCTTAGCACCGAGGTCACTTTGCCCCCTCCACCCCATGTCAATCTTTCCTCTTGTGCTTCTGGGGTCCCCAAACATTTGTCAAAGCAATAGTTACTTTTTTGCACCTGCTTCATTTAATGTGCTCTCCCTGTGAGAGCTCAAAGGGCAGGGCCCCCATCTAGCCAGCCACATGCCCCATCTCCACAGTGCCACATGAAGGAAGGATAGGGTCACATCACTCTTGCCCAAACAGAAGCAGGCCATACCCAGCCCCTCCAACTGAACACAACAGAAATGAAGAATAAATGGTGAGAAATGGGAAATGAGAGAAACAACCCAAGCCCTTCATCCTTTGGAGGACAGGTCACAACTGCTTTCAGACAAACACTGGCTTACATAAATGCCCTGTGTTATAATGATGAGCTTCCAGGTGTGGAAACACCCTCTGTAGGAGAGGGTGTGACTCTATGGACCCAAGAGCTCTGATCCAGTCATAGCCACTGCACAGGGCAGGGTAGGAAAGAATGGGGCCCTTGAGAGGCAACTCTCCCAGTTAGAAAACTATACATGGCATCACTAAAAATGTACAAGTATGGCAACCCCTTGAGAAGTACACAGAATGATTCCGGCCCACAATGGTAATGTGAAACTACACCTGAGCTGGTAGACCAAGCTCTGAGGGTGGCTCAGAGTGAGGTTGTGATTATTTTCATATTAAAAAACAATTTAACATGAGGTAACAATGGTCACCTCATGCAGTCAACATTTACTCCAAAATGCCCACCAGTTGAGTACCAAACAATAAAATACATCCACAGGGGTAAATGTGAAACCCACGTGTACTTGCATGTCTTCATTCCTTTGGTAAGTTCCAATCACTTTTTTAAAAAAGAGCAATACTTGAGACATTCTCAAAAGATTAAATAATGAGATTCCTAATCCAGTTTTTTTTAAAGTTTATCATGAATTTATTTAACATGAATGTGGTTTACTGTTTTTGTTTTTAGCCCTAATGCAACTCCTACAAAACTACTTACTAAGCTGAACTTACTTGGAAAAGAACTTCAAGAGATTTTTAAAAAGTGAAAAAACCCAGCCAGAGGGAAGACTCAGAATTCACCTAGAAATTGCACAGGTACATAATGATGACATCATGTCTCAGAGAAAATAAAGAAAAACAAACGAGTAGATGGGGACCAAGAAAAAGTGAGCATGCTGGATAGTTAAAATGACATACAAAAAGGCTTGTTTTGTTTCTCAACAGTGTTTTAAAATTTTATTCATTTTAAAATTACAGTTGATATACAGTATTATATTTGCTTCATATACAGTGGTATTTTTTTAAATTAAAGCCCTCTCTCACCACTCTTATTTAACATAATACTAGAAGCCCTAGCCACAGCAATCAGTCAAGACAAAGAAATAAAACACATCCAAATTGGAAAGAAAAAAGTTGTCTTTAATTGCAGATCATATGATCTTACACATAAATCAATTACATTACTCTGTACTAACCATGAAACATCTGAAA